GAACAGTGAGTCTTAATTTTTTTCTTTTAAACTTCTCATCCTTCATATTCCGATACTTGAGGCTTTTCTCATTTGGTTCTCCAGATTGGTTCACACACACCTCAACCCACCTCAGTGTGGTTGCTGCATAGCCTAGTTTTTTGTTTTTTTTTTTAATTAAAAATTTATGTTGTAGTTCAGCTTAAGAACAATACAAATTCAGAATTACTTGATCTAATTGTTGTTTTGAGAATCAAATGGCCAGATGGATGGATGTGTGAAAATATACACCATTTCTTTCTCTAGTATGTTCTACTCAAGTCATAGACCAACATAACCAAAGTCAGAAGTATTGGAATTTATATGAACAACATGCTTCCAATATAGTCCATTTTAAAAATGGTTATTTTTTAAAAAAATAATTTTAAGAGTTTATGTAATTGTAGTAGAAGATTATTTTTACTACTAGCTTTGATAGGTTGTTTTTACCTCAATTAAAATCAATTTTAAAAAAACCTAGAATGCTGTTTTTAGTTATTACTACTTACTTTCCTCCAAATTCACCATGAAAAATGGGAAGCTTATGCATAGAAATGTGTCCATTAAAAATCTTCCTTTTTAAAATTTAAGTTATTAAGGATACACTGGATAAACTGTAAAGTTTTTGTGAAATGATTATTAAAAGTTTACTGGCAAAAGCCAGGGGGAATGAATAGTTTTGAAGGTTAGTTCTTCAGTCTTTATTTTAAAAAATAAAACAATTTTAAAACTTTGATACTAAATTTATCAGGGACAATGTACCAAAGTATCCACGTTTTAGCTGTATCTTATCTTTTCAATAATAAGGGCTGGGTTTTTTAGGTAGGTGAGGCAGGTGTGGGGAAAGTGCCAGGTAATGTCTAATGTCTTAATATGAAAGAATGCTTTGCATTTCTTCTTTCTACACACCTTTCTCTTTATTTTCCCATTCCATTTTTTTGTCATCTCCACTTTTGTATGTTTTTCCTTATCTGTTGTATTTCATGGATGTGTACTAAACATAATCTCCTCTCTGTTTCCAGTTAATTCCATACCCCATTAAACACACACACACACACACACACACACACACACACACACACACACAATATGAATATGAACTGCCCCTCTAAAAGTTCCCCTAATGATGGAAGTTGTCTATTATCCTGTGTGTGTTTGAAATGTAAAATGTAATAGTGGCAGAAACAAGTGTGACCACTATGTCTTGCCTGTTTTCCTCTTTATATGCTAGGTCACCTGTAGGGTGAGAAGACAGATGTAGGAAAAAGCAGACCTCTCCTATACCACTGTTACGGAGACTCTGGACTTGAGTGAGGAGCATTTCTTTAAGGGAAAAGAATAGGTCCTTTACTTGTATGTCATGATTTTGGTGAGTGGCAAACTGTCAAGTGAGACTTAAGAACACCAAAAAAATTGTCTAGACTGGTCCTTGTAGACAGAAGCTGCCTGTCCTTCTCTCTTAGGGCAAAAATTACCCTTTTTTAGCTTTTTATAGTATTTAGGTGAGAAAATGATTGGCATTATGAGCATAATTCTATGACCCTTTGTGTACAAAGCATATTTTGATTCAAATACCTCAAGGTCTACCTAGACCTCTATGGATAAAACTATTAATTTATGATTTTTAGCACCTGTGGGGCTTGGGGGCCAGACTACACACAGATGACATGGAAGATTCAGCACATTCCACTAATATATGTTGCCAAATTCTGGCCTCAGTATTACCATTCTTCCAAGCATCATTTTAAGTATCATCATTTTAAGTATTAAGTAGTAGGGCTTCTTATGCTTTGATGTGAGAGTGTCGAGACATGAATACAGACAATCTTCTGTGAAACATCAGCTAAATTTGATAATGCTCCACATCTTTTTATACCTTCCACAGAGTCTCTTGCCCTTGTTTGATGTTAACTGCCTTCATGTGTTTTAAGTCTCTTAACCCACCCTTACATGAAGCCATGCAGTCCTTTAATATATCTTGGTCTCCTGTCTTCCTAATAGCTTTAAGCAGGGAGTAAAAATACAAATATCCAAAGGATACTGTTTATATCTGACTTTTGTGTGCTGCTTTATTTCTAAAATTTGCAGTTTTCATGTGTTCATTCACTGAAAAACCTATTATTGCCCTGGATGGTTGTATTTTTTCCCTAAATGGTTCACATCTAAACTCACTAGCTGTAGCATATTATCTCTTGGAATGAATGAGCTCATGCAGTGGAAAGGATGTGTCTATTTTTAGGGACTCATTAGTCTCCACTTATTTTTCTATAAATATGTCATTGTTAAAGGAAAAGATGATTTAGATTGACACAAATGTCATCCACCTTTCACTGGAAGAATTGTAGGCCATCCTGTGGATCAAGAATACTACTGACAAGCAAAAAAGCAATAAGATCTGTAAATATCTCTACCACTACCCCTCCCCAACCTGACTTTTTTTTTTTTTTTTAAGTGTACCTATTTTGGTAACATGGTGTTCCCAGATTCTGTGTGCCTTGCACATTGTAAGGACTCATTAAATATTTATTAAATTTATGAATGATTAACTGAAGATGAGAAAGATCAATCATGAGTGATGCGTAGAGTGAGTTATGATTGAGAAATTGATGGAATAGAGCAATGGATTGTGAATGAATGATATACTCTGCCTTCATGATACTTAGGGAGAACTATTGCATATAGAATAAGTTAATATAGATTTTTTTTCCTTCATTAAACTACTTTGTTTATGCTTGTTAAATCCCAGCCAGGAAATGCAGCTGTATAATATCAATTAACTGTACTATAATGTATATTAAAAATTCATAGAAAAATGAAGAACATTTGCAAGAACACTACTTTCTATTCACTTATGATGTTGGAGGACAGATCTTGCCAATAGAGCCATAGCCACTCTTGGAGTATCTGAGGAAACTGATTTCAAAGACGTGTTGATCTGTATCTGTGCATGAGTAGTCATTTTAGACTCAAAACCCCTTCTTTTCTAGGTTTTAGCATTTTATTACCTCTTTGAAAACTCTGGGCCCAGACTTTTGAGTCATCTCTCTTATTCCTATGGTACAATTCTAATTTAAATTAAAGGCTTCGTTATTTATCAGATTAAATATACAGGAGGTCACTCAAAGCCACTTAAGTCTTCAGATAAGGGCTTACGTAACACAAGATGTGCAAACAAAAGTTCTTGGATTTTTATGTGGCATTTTGTAGGAAAGCATATATGGTGGTAGGCTGTGTCATTTAGATATATTCAGGTCATGTGAATTCATGCTTGTTTAGACACATACATACATGTGTGTAAAAACTTTTAATATTTTTGAGAACAAATTGTCAGCCTAGTATTTTTCTCTTAATAGCACAAGATGGTATCTGACATGAGGGCTAAATATAATTTAGGAATGCAACTACCACTAGCTATGCAGCAATCTAATTTCTACCTTAGTTCCCCTGTATTAGAGAAGATGCTAAATATTTAGTTTATCAAAGGAAGTAAGAAAACACTTTTGTTTTTGCAAAAAGCTTTTGTGAGCTTAGTTATTTTGTAACTAGAAAATTATATTTTAAAACTTTGAAATATCTAAAGTATGCTAGAAAATTTGAGCAGCATTGTAACAACTGAACTTTTTGTCTTCTAAGTAAATTTCTCAAATAGAACTGTGCAAACCCTAGCACTTTACATGCTGCCGCCTCCCTGTACTTGAGTATACTCTGTAATGTGCTCCTTTTTATTAGAGAAGTTCATGGAGGCACAGGAAAGCATAGGCAAATTCAGTGTTATAAAGGCAGTGAGCAGGAAAAATCAACCCTGAGAATTCTCCTTACCATCACACAGTGTCTTTTAAAAAATAACTGTATATACTGTGTTCATCCGAGTGCCTTTCTTTTTGGGGGAACAAGATTATATTTAAGTCTAACATTTAGGTAGAAAACAAAGGATGAAAATTTTATTAAACAGTTGATTGACTCATTATTTTATTTATTCCAATTGCTAGGCATGGCCCAGTGGAATATTTTATCCTTAAGTGAGTTACTGATAAGAGCAGGAAGGATGCTTTGGTTTGCATGTCATTAGGTATCATTTTTAAGCACCCTACCAGGAAGAATTAGTTCTTTCTCAGTGACAACTAATGTTTCTGGGGTTGGAGACCTCACATTTAGAGGACAGCATATGCATAAAGATCAGCCAGAAACCCTGTGCAGCCCATGTTTAAAGGGAAACAGTGGCACTCTGCCCTAAAAGAAGCACCATACAGTTGTCCTAAATGAATCCTTTGCCTCATCTTAAGGACTTTTAAGAACTCCATCCCAAATTTAGTCCTACGTAAGATAGTTGAGTGGGGGGAAAAATGGAACCTTAATCTTTTCAAATATTGGAGGAAAAGAGGCAAATACTGAGATGAAGTTTAAAATGTGGCTTTTTATGTATTTGGGTATGGAGAGGGGAGGGATGGGAGTTCCATATTTCCAGATAGCAAATAATTGTTAATTGTAATTTCATT